GGGGGGGGGGGGGGGGGGGGGGGGAGAGAAAGAGAGAGAGAGAGAGAGAGGCTGAGGTTCCTAAGTAGACAAAGTGGCATGCTGGAAACATGTTTTGGAAAGATGATACTGGACCACATGCAAGAGGGGAAGACTAGGGTCAAGAAGAGGGATTAGAAGACTACAACTGTTCGTGTGTAAAGGGATGAATATTGAGGCAGTAGCCTCAGGGAGGGATGGAGAGGCTGGACTCAAGAATCAGTACAAGAGAAAATTTCCTGAACTTGATGCTTGAGCCTTAGCAATGGCTCAGGGGCATTCTGGTTCACAACTGTATACCTCACACCTAATATAGTCTGGATTACAGTAGATGATAATTAAACATCTTTTCAATGAATGAACAAGCATAGGTGCTTGGCAAACTCTACCTCATGGAATGGTTGACTAACTGATGAGCAGACATTGCTTAGAACTCTGAAATTCCAGAACTTTCTCACATGAAAAAAATATGTTGAAACTCATGCCAATATTCTCTCCCAAGTGCAATGTCTCTGCTCCCACCCTTTTCCAGAAGCTCCTCTGTCTAGTTAGCAGAAGTGAGGAAGGTTCTAAAGGAAAATCCTAAAGGCAGACCATTGATAGAACATTGGAGTAGCTCCCACTGTGGCTAGCACCATGGCCTACAACTGGCTCAGAAATATACCACACCCAGTGCTACTAGAGAACCACAGAACCACCTCAGGCTTCAGCCCAGACAAAGGCCAGAATTCCAGACAGCAGTTTCCAGGGCTTTATCCATTAGGACTGGCAGGAAGGCCATCTTGGTGCCCAAAGTCCCCCACAATTCACATCCCCAGATGCATGTGCACACCTGCTAAGATGAACTGCAGCTTAGAGGCATCAGGTATGGCAATGCGGTCAATGTACTCAGGATCCAGGTATTTGATCAGGTCTTCAACTAGAAAAGTAGCAAGATGGAAAATGGAATAGGGTTGGGAGTGAGGATCTGTTTTATGAAGGATACCAGGGGAATGGTCCATGCTGGGGAGAGCCTTGAGTGAGGAGCTGACACCTACAGTGTCCATTAGCAGGCCTCTACCAGGGCTCCTACTCCTACTTCCCTGTCTCTCCCCTCTGATCACCTGCTGGCTGACCTCAAACTTTAGAGCTGGGAGTATAATTGTTTCCACCACCCTGGGGCCCTCAGTATTCCCAGTGACCTATGTTCACCAAGGGTGAAAGGCCCCTTGCCCCTCAGTGCCACCAAGACAACTCAGAGCTTTATCTGATTTCTAGTTACTGAGCAGATTGCTAGCTCTGACACAATCAAAAAGGCATGGCTGAGCCAAGGCCAGGGCTCCAGTACCTAATTTCCTGCCTCTGAACCTTGCCTGTGGAAATCCCATACCCATTCTCCATACTTCACCAAAGGGATCTTTCAGACAGAGCCTTTATCCCATAACTTAGGACACTGTCATGGGATTGAAGTTTTACCACAAAAATAGAAAGCACACCCCAATTCACCATTTCAGCAGGGAAACATCTTCACATTCTATCCCCAAAGGGCAATTCCAGTGACCTAATGGGCTGAAGAACCAGGGGCAGGTCTCAGGAAGTATAAGTACAGAAAAGAAGACAGGCAGGCACCCCATAGAAACACTTACTCTTTTTGTACAGAATCTTCACTCTCTCTCTCTTGCTGGCAATGTTCCCCAAAGCTACCTGCACCTTGACCAGACCATCAGCTATCTGTAAGGGGAGTGAAAGTTATTTCCAAGATTCACTACCTGATTCAAGGACTGAAAGAGGTAAAGAACTCTCATTCCCTCAGACTCCCAAAGCTCTTTGCCCCAGAAATCTAGATTGGTCACTTTCTGTTGTATTAAAGGAGATGCAACAGCACCTTCTGGGAATCCTCAGTGTGAAGAGGGACATAATCATGTACTCCTTGGGGGAGTTTCAAGTCTGATTGGAGAGGTAATGAACTATTTTAGAGTTTATGGGGCATTAGCATATACTATATATTATTTGGTTCCTACTTCTCTGACTGAACCTACCTGGGTTTTAAGGGTAGTGGGTGAGGAATTCCAATCTTAAAGGGCTGAATAGATGAAGAGGCAATGGAAGTGAATGATCTCACTCAGGTCATTTTAGGTTAGAGGGAGAGGAATACCAAAATTCAAGGGTCGAATATATGGGGAGGCAAGTAAGACTGAGCAGCACAGCCAGGACGTAAAAGAAAAACCAGGAGGGCTAGCGTCAAAGGGAGAAAATGTTTTGATAAGTCAGTTCTCAAATGGGGCACAATCTGCTAGTGACAACTAATTGCACAAGGGTGTACAAACATACATCATTACCTCTGATGCACTTAAATCCAGGGTATTGCTGACACTCTAACTTCAGGCCTTCCCATAGAAAAAAGGGGATGGGAGGGCAACTGAGCTTCACCGCTGTCAAAATTCAGTAACGGTGTGAAGCAGTGCCAGTTCACATTGGAACACCCAATATCCAATCCCTTTCCCTCCTAATCTTGGTCCTCTCAGACCTCACCTCTCACTCCCCGCGCCCCGCCCCAGAGCCTTCCTTATGCACCCCTGTTCTGCCTCCTCTAAATCCCATGGACCTCTTTCTGCACAATGCATCTAGCAATTAATTACACAGGGCTCCGTGGCGGCCCCTCCATTGTGGACTTCATCTCTTATTGAAACTCTCATTAGTCAATTTCCCGAGTGTGTCAAGTCTTCCCAACTGGCCCGCGAGGGCAGGGGCGGAGTGTTAGTCACAGTTCATACTGAGCTCATTTGAAGCGGGCCTAATAACCCGCAGTTCCCTGCATGGGCATGGACCCCGAGGGTCCAATATGCTCCGGAGATCTCGGACCTTTGTTATTTCAAAGGCCGGACTACAGGCGACGGGACTGAAATGACATCCATCCCGAGGCCCAGGCCAGGAGACCGCCCTTGTCTGCCCCAGAAAGGGACCACTGGACCTCAAATCGCTCACCTTCCGAGAGCCGCGCGAGCCACCCGGCCCATACACCCAGCGCTCCAGCTCCTCCACACGGGCCTGTAGCCTCTGCACATCGGTCACAGCTGCCATCGCTACCGCCCCGCCTCAGCTGGGGAACAACCAGAGGGTGGGACGTCCGCCCGAATAGAGGAGGCTGGCCAATCCGAGTGCATTGACGCCCCTCTATACAGGAAGTGACGCTAGACTTAGGCCTTTAGTGCCGGAAGTGACCCGCAGGGCGGGGAAAGGAGTCCAAAGCTGTCTAGCTACCTAGGCAACGGCCACCGGTCAGGCCCCCCCCTAGCTTCCAGCTCCTGCTTGTGAAGACAACTTTTACCATTCTTCTTCTAATTTCAGGGTACCAAAGAGGTTTCCCCACCTCATTCCCCGAAGTTGCGCATATAAATACTCCCATTTTTCCAGGATTGGTCTATTCCCATAGATCAATAGGAGGCCCTGTAAAATACCACAATCTTTTAGAGTCTAATAAGGTTCAAGCGATTAAGTGCTTTGCCCAGGCCCACTCAGTACTATAGTGGCAGAATTAGGATTTGAACTCAAGCAGTCTGATTCATGAGACCGAGCTCTTCTACTCTCATGGACCTTTGCTATTCTGTCTTCCCTCTGAGAACCCCAGCCCAACACGGCACGTGCATACCACACAATTCCTTTCCAACCCCCGGATCCAAACAAGAATAAGAGGCACTGAGGAGGGAGGGGCTGCAGCTTTATTATCCAGATGTGACCTGAGGGACATCTCCTTCACAACACCCCAATCCAGCCCTTCATCTGGCTCCTGAAGAGAAGAAGCAGGTCTCACTCCAAGAGGTAGGGCCCTAGAGATGACACTGACACAGTGGGGCATGTGAGGAGATGACAGGGGTTATCAGGGGCAGGGCTCTTTGGTAGATGCTGCTGGAGTTGGCTAGAGAGGAAGTGCCCTCCCTTTACAATGAGGTAGATGTAACATCAAAAGAAAACCCTTTGGCTTCAAATCCACATGGCATGTGGGGGGAGTGGTTATCTCCCAGGTCTGGGTCCTAAAGTGGGCCCCCTGGAAGAATCAAGGTGGAAGGGATGTCTTCCCCACCCAACAATGGTCTGGGACTCTTAATTCCAAGTGGGAGCTCTCAGGGTGAGGTGCTGGAAGGGGGCCCTGTAGGAGTTGGGGGTGCAGGGTTAGTTGGGCCCTGGGAAGCTGGCAGAGGCTGGCGGCGGGCAAAGAGGATGCCTGACAAAGGGATGAGGAGATGGTAGAGAGCAAATACAAGCAGGAGGGGGGATGGCAGGGAAACAGAAGAAGGAAACCAAAGTTAGTGACTCGATTGCTAGAACATCACACACATACCTCTGCCACAAACCAATGAGGACAAACCCCTTGGATTAGTTAGAGACTTATATGCCAATATAGATACCCTTGAACAGGTAAACAATAAATACTTACACTGATACATAGGCCCATGACAAGGCAGACATCCTATGGTACACATGGTACCCATAGAGAGGTCATGCCTTGGACCCCATGCCATGTAGACAGCCCCTTTAACCCATGCCAGTTTAGCAATCCCCTGAACCCCATATTACCCATGCAAGTTTGGATATCCCTGAATCTCATGCTAGTAGAAAAAGCCTAAAATTCCCACGCCAATGTAAATACCCCTGACCTCATGCCAGTGTAGACAGCATGCATTACCCATACCAGTGTAGACCACCCCGTTGATCTCTAGGGCCATGTTGATACTGCTGATGCCACTGCCTGCCAGATTAAGAGGCCCATCCAGCCGCTCTTCTGTCCAGGAGGGGGCAGGAGAGTCACATTTTTGGGAATCAGACTTCAGACTTACAAGCTCCCCCCTCCATCCCTATAGACATCCCTATTCCACTTCAGCCCCACATCTGTAATCACACAGTTGTCTATATCTATCTGCCCCACCTCTGAATGCCTATCAGGTGATGGGTCTGTCCTCCCACAGTGCACAGCCCCTTCTCACCCCTTAGGGGAACCTTGCCATGGGGCACAAAACTGGGGGGTGCACCAGGTCGAGGTGGGTCCATGGGCCCCATCAGCACAGCCCTCTTCTCTGGAGGCTCCTCTGGTGCCAACTTCTCCCGTGCAGATCCAAATGCCAGGCCCACAGGCAGTGTCAGTCGAGAGGCTGGAATCCCACTCTCCTCTGGAAGAACAGGTCATTCAGCTCTTCTGGCCCAACCAACTCAGTCTCTGCATTTGGTTCTCCCCCTAGGCCTGGGACCAACGGAGGTCAGTCACCCAAGCTCAAGCACCAAGTTCAATCTCCACTCCCATCCAGAGTCTCGGCCTAGAGGCTCTCTGAAACTGGAGAACCAAAAGGACCAATATATTGATTTTTTTTTTTGATTTTTTTTTTAGAGAGAGAGGAAGGGAGAGAGACAGACAGACAGACATTGGTTGGTTGTCTCCTGTAGGAGCCCCAACCAGGGATGGAACCTGTTACCCAGGTATATGCCCTGACCAGGAATTGGTAATCGAACCCGCCACCCTCTGGTGTACCGGCGGAGGCTCCAACCAACTGAGTCACAGGGGCCAGGACCCAAAGGGCCAATATATATGCCTAGGTTGGTCCAAGACAATTGGGAGGATTTCCTTGTTCTCAGTTGTTAACTAATCCAGGTCAAAGGAGGCACCAACTACATGCAAACAGGAACCCTGGGTGGACAGGTGTGGAACAGGATTGCTTTGGATAAAGGACCTTCAGCACGGTACCACCGTAACCCTTACTCCAGGACTCCCAAGGCTTCGTTGACCCCAAACCTCAGGACCCCTAAACTTTAGAGTGCATCAAATCTCAGTGCCCCATCAGTCCGTACTGTCCCATATCTCAATGCCTCCCACACTTCAGAGTCCCCATATTTTAATGTTGCCTGTATATCAGCGTACCCCTAGGTCTCAGAGACCCTCAAACCTCAGCCCCTCCCCCTCACACCTTTCTTAATGGGGCTCGGGCTCAGCTGTGCGCAGGCGAGCGCCGGC